TTTCGTAATCTCGTTTTCACGAACGTGATCTTCTTCAGCACTAGGTTCACAGAGTATAGATTCCATGAATGGGCGGGTTTTTGTGTGAAGGTGTGGAAATTTACCAATTTCCCATAGTTTTTTGAGTGTGTGCTAATAATGATGGCATAGCTGTCAATCAAAAGCGCATTTTTTACCAAAAAAAACTTAAACATATCGATATCGATAACAACGATCAGCACGCTCAAATAGACGCGTTCGCTCATGTTCCCGCTAGTGCTGATAACGATGTCAATCCACAGCACATTTTTTACTATTAACTTGCTCCACCTCGCTCTTATTAGATCGTCCAGAAAGTTTTTGCGCATGAATTTCAAAATTCATAACTTCTGAATTTTCCAACCGATTTGACTGCTTTCACCTTTATGTGAAAGGATAAGTCATGCTCTTTATAATGACATCTCAGTTGCTCAGTAATGGTCATCTGTTGCATAGATAGGAGCGATAGAAGAAAAATGGTAAAAATTTTAATTTTCTGTGTAGGGTCAAAAATCGGAGACTTGCAACAAAAATCGGAGCAGTCGGTACTGTAGGTTTTTTCACCAGCTCTTTCTAACAGTGCAAAGTTTGCGTTGATTGAGCGTCTCCATGAAAAGTTATGATTTCCCTGAAAAATGCCAAAATAAATCAAATTCGCCTTTTTTATTGCTTGCTCGAAAATCACAACTTTTCATGGAGATGCTATATCGGAGCAAACTTTGCACTGTTAGAAAGAGCTGGTGAAAGAACCTACAATACCGACTGCTCCGATTTTTGTTGCAAGTTTCTGATTTTTTATTACCCTACACAAAAAGTCAAATTCTGAGTGATTTTGGTTTTGAGCTTCTATCTATGCAACAGATGACCATTACTAAGCAGCTGAGATGTCGTTGTAAAGAGCATGACATACCCTTTCACAGAAAAGTGAAAGCAGTCAAATCGGTTGGAAAAATCAGAAGTTATGAATTTTTGAAAATCGTGCGCAAAAACTTTCGGGACGACCTATACAATGTGTTGGCTTTTACGGGTCACGAAGCAAATGATTTTTAGAGCCGGGAAGCAAAGAAGCGCTAACATGCTGTATACCATTCGCTTTCTGCCTCCAAGTAATCGCTACGAGAAAGTCGATGGTCTACATTTGTCAATGAAGACTTGCTCCTTAACACAGATAGATAATCAGCAGTGATTAGATCTTCATTTGGCAGAAATCTGCTGTTGAAAATGACCATGTTTTGAGATAAAATGCGGTGTATCTCTCGGTAGAGGGGGGCTAGAAAGAAGTCGACAGTCTAGGTGGAATCCCCTTTTCTTGAGTTTTCGAATGGTATATAGGTTGCTGGGCGAAAAAACTAACCAGTTTTCAAAATGGGGGTGGAGATATTTACTATTAGCTTGCTCCAACCCAGCTCCACCATGTATTGGCTTTTATCGGTTACCGGAGCAAATGATTTTTAGAGCCGGGAAGCAAAGAAGCGCTAACATGCTGTAAACCATTCGAAAGCTGAGATCATGGAGAATCGACGTAGACCGTCGACTTTTTTCTAGGTCTTCTCTGCCGCGAGATATGAGAGATTTTATGTGCTTCAAAAATTAACTGATCTTGTGTCCTCACTTTCTGCTCTCCAAAATGCTACGAGCATAAATAAATAATATAAATAAACATAAATACCAGTTCTTTAGAAATAAATTTATGAGTGTACTTGTTGTTTGAGGTACTTAGCCTGCAAAACCTTTTAATAACGATTTTTATCATATTCTCAGAGTACAATACCAATCTCAGCCCAGGTGAAGGGGGTCATCGGGAGTTTGGCCTCAAAGTGAAGGGGGTAAGATCCATCACTCCCCCTATCGCAACTATGTTTGAACACCAACGCGCGGCGCGGCTGGAAACGTTTGGTCCCGAAGCGCTACAGGCTTTTTTCGAGCGACAATGAGCGTGCGTCCTTTCCATACATATTTTTCTAAACTTTTGAGGGAGGCTTTCGTCGAGATATACCATCCATTGACGATAACAACATGAAAGTTGAAGAAAGATTTTCTGGAATATAGTGAACGCTGACAGTCGTTCGCGACGACCGCTCGCTTACGCTGGTGTTCAAGGCACGGCGCGGGCAATTAGGTTTTACGGCGCCTATAGTTACCTACTATTCCTAATTGTGCTACCTATGTCAGAATAAAGTTCTAAGGAAGATCACTTACGAGATTACAAACCCTCCTCCCAATTTGTGAAGTCGCAATGACACGCAAAAAAGGTATGGAAAGAGAACTTTTTCTGAAGTTAGTCGCAAGTATTGGGGGCGGGGTCTGTATAACATGAGCTAATTAATGTTTACAATTTTTGTCATCCGAGAATAGAATACAGTTTTCATCCTCAAATCATTAGACATCTAAAAATCATATAAGAGCCACGATTTGCTTATCTGACAATAAGTAAGACAAAGCATCGTCATAATTTTTCAAAATTTCCTCTGCTCAGAATAGTTGTATCTCTGCACAGAACCTGCGCTTAGAATTTTGCTATAATTCGCAGCTTTCGTAAAAACTGGGAAATTTGCTAGAAATCAGGAAATTGGCGGAATCTCGATATACCGCTATAACTCACTTCACGCTGCTTTCGAAACCGAATAAGCATTGTACTCAGCTCAGCATAGCGATTCTTTTGATAAATCACACTACTGTATTCCACTAGTGAAAGCGGTGATCTTTTTCTCGATTCGCTTGCAATGAGAAGGAGTGGGGCTGCTTGATGTGCCAATCACAAATTTGTATTCTATTTCCATATTCGTATAGGATTTTCGGTTTGCGAAGCCATTGTTTTGGTAACATAAAGGTCAAAAAGCTTGCATCTTGGTTCGTCGCACATCTGCCTTAGACACAGAATAGCTGGAGTGCCCAGCGTCGCTCGGTCCCTTCGTAAGAACTCACTATTCAGCTTTACTTCCATTCAACATTTTCCTGTCTCTGTCCTACTTAATGTGCCAGTTCTGCGCCCTCATTGTGTTTTCGCGATCAGCATGCCTACTTACCTCCCTCTCCCGCGTGCCAACTCTGTCACTGCCCACAGTTTGCACAATCGATGAAATTGATGACTGGATTTTACCAAAATAGATGTGATTTTGTAATCGGCATGCCCATTTAACCGCACATACATACATATACATGCAGACATATATAGTACGCAAACAGACATCCAACTTAATGGATGAGGATTGCAAAAATCAATACGGGTCTATAAGATGATTATGAGATACGATAGGTGTACCATTTGATTCGAGCTCGCTCTAACCTGTCTTTCTTCAGGATGTTATGTTTTCCTAAAAGGAATAGAATTTATTGCGTAAGGCAACGCTGAAAGAATAGAATGGAAAAACGATACCCTCAGGCAAATCACCGGAATTTCCGCAGGACAAGCCAAATTTGCAGAAGTTCCGCAGGATTTTGTTCACTATGCAAAAATGAAAACGTTGAAAATGGGAACTTCCGCGGGATTTTCATGCCAAACTGGTCGAAAACCGGAACTTCCGCAGAACCCTCTTCAAAATCCTGCGGAAATTCCGAAAAATGTCAGAGGTTTCGCAGCACTTTGGCCTGCCAGAACTTCCGCAGGATTTTGAATGTGTTGTTTCGTGATGTTGCCTCGCCAACAACTAGAGTCCATTAACGAACATGTCAGCCGTAGTGTAGAGGATAGTAGGTGGGTCTCACAATCAATAGAGTGAGGTTCAAATCTCGCTTCGGTGTTCTCTTTTGCTGTTGTGGTTGGCATTCTTCGGAACTTCCGCAGGACCTCATTTCGGAACTTCCGCAGCACATTTGCGGAACTTCCGCAGGTGACCTTAACTTCAGCAAGCGCTCTGCGGAAGTTCCGGTCATTTGAGCCTTGCGTATCACCGTATCAGTACATGCATATGTACAGACGATTCATCACACGCAAAGAGAGGACGTCACTACGGACGCTGTCTGCGTCTCGCTGATCTAACGCTCTTTCGTAACCCTTGCCATCTCTGCCACGCACGGGATGTCTCAGTTGGAGCAACGGCGTCCAGTCTGTGCGTGCGATGAATCGCCTATACATTTGAGTTGCTTTTTTTTCTGCGAGCGCGTTTCATGATGCGTAACCAACGCGCATTGCACATAGGGAGAGGTTCAGTAAACATTTTGGAGCTACGCCCACTGATTATTCGCGGCAAGAAGTTGTTTAGAATACTGCTTTCTGCTAGCGAAGGAACGATTGGTGAGTTTTGAAAAAAAGCAGGGTTTGAGTCAACAACCGCTTCTCAAAATTACATCACAAAACAATGTTAACTTAGCTCTCAATCGTCATGCTATGCTACTCAAATATGCTTTATTACTAGTTTCTGTAAACTTCTCGAACCCTCCAATCTCAACTCACTTTTTGTGGGCGGGTTTATGTGAAACTGTAAAATCGATGCTTCTTCTTGATAGATGGCTCTGTCAAGCATCAGTCAGCAGAGAAGTTTGCAGAAACTCTAGTAAAGAAACATCGTTCATTGGATTTCCAAAATATGCTCAAAGTCGGTTGGCAAAAGTCAAAAAATCCATTTTTGTCTGGAATCTGTTCACCTCAACCTCACAGTAAGGCGTCATCTTGCAAAGCAGATGCATTTTTCGTATAGATCAGACTGTGGGCAAAATCTTAAGGAACCCGCATCATTCGACTTTTTTTTCGTTTAACTTTTGGAGCTGTGGAAACAGTTGTTTTCATTAATGACCACTTCGCTCATGCTTTTCAGACACTGTCTACAAACTTCGGCGATCTTGTGAAGACTCAGCATTCACTCAGCAAAGATTTAGTAAAGCTTTGCCAAATTCGATTTCAATACCTGCTTGTTTTCATGGATTAGAGTCTCTGGGAACAGTGCTATCGATCAGGCTTGACCAGATCCTCATCTGTGTATTCGCTGAGTCACATAGTAACGTTGCAGAGAGGCATACCGTTCCCTGTCGCCCACAGCGAACACGCAGTACCTGGAAGAGATCGGCATACACTTCCGAGTGAGTGCAATTTGTTTCAAAATTGAGTTCAAGCTCACTTTTGTGCCACACATACCATGGACCTCTTGGACATCCCTGTACCGATTTCTGAGTCAAAGTCCCCGAAATCAAAGTTTGTGGCTTGAAATTCATGGTAAATCACACACGTTTGGCACGCCTGTGGAGCTACCGTATAGATGGGTGGAGGTCGCTATTGCAGAACTGGCCCCATTACCTGATTAGACACACCAACTAAGTTGCCCTGAAAGTTTTGCTTTTAATCCAACAACAAAACTCGAAGAACATTAACCGGCAAACGAAGTGAATAGCGCTCCAAACTTGGCCGTTGATTTTTCGCATGAATTGATCGCTTCTATGTTCTTCTTCAGCCTATTACCAGATTGTTAAGAATTTTCATTACGACTGAGGTTTCAGTCGTCGCCTTTTTCAGAGCTAGGAAAGTTCTCGAATATTTGAGCTTTTCTCTCAAGCCTTTTCGAGGCAAGATATAAACCCAGCGTCATGAATAGGATTTGAAGCAAGAACGGGGACTTGAAAACCTGAGTCAGTGCTTACCGAAAAAGTCGTGGTGTGAGGCGGACCACCGATTGCAGAGTGCTCTGCGCCGTCTTTGTTAATTACTTTGCGAGTCCTTTATATATCTGATCCTATCTGTGGAAAACCCACAAAGGGTTTGATACGGGGCTAAGATCTATTCACGACAATGCATTCTTCTTTACGGTTCATTTTTGGTTTCGAAGGTGATGAAAGTTTTTTTAACAGTTTTGGCGATAGGCTGAAGAAGGAAGCGAATGGTCGTTGTTTGTCTCCCTTATGGTAATCAAGTATAGTTGTATTTTCTCCATGATTTCGCAGACTTTGCGTTATCATGGCTCCTCGCACAATCTCTGCAAAAACCCTCCAATTAGAAAAATTAACGATAGCATGGATGAGCGCTGGTAGTGGCTATGTGGAGTAAATCTTCGGCTATGTTCCTTATTTCAAACTACCTAAATCAAGTCTTCACAGTTTCCAGTGATTATTTATTTGCATGCAGCGCGAAGACGTGTGAATTTGAAAAAGCCGACTCATCGAGACAAGAATGACAATCAAGCTTCAATTCGCAGAAATTGTAGGAACTTTCATATTTTATTAGTATTGTTTTGTGTTTATACGAAAACAATTTCGAAGTTTAGTCAGGGTCAAATAACAGAACGAACAGATATAAAAGCGCTACCATGACAGGAAATTTGCTCTTTTTGTCTATTATGCGTTCCTCCGATAGTCCGAAAGAAATTTTCAGAATCTAAACAGAGACGGTGAGTGAAAAATGGCAATTATCTGAAAGCGCTGGAAAATTTTGGCCGAAAGCACAACCGCCAGAAAGATGAGAAGTTGCGTCATATGCATGCTTAACCGCTTTTAGATAGTGGTTGTACGTTTTATGGTCATTTAGAAAAAACACAACTTATGGGACAATGTTTTAATATCTTAGTAAAGTTCACATCAAATACCAGCAAACAACTGCAGTATAATTGTAGACAAATAAATGTATACTTATGCTCATTCCTCCGCATACCAGGGCTCGGCACAAGGTGGCTTCCCGAAACTGCAAAAAACGAAGTCCCTTTGGTTTCACTATGAAAGTATAGACTGCTGCATGATGAAGGCGCAATATTGTCGGGCGCGAGCACGGCTTAATTAGCCGCAGAGCGCATGAGGTACGGGATCTACAACGGTGAGGATACGCGCGCGTTGCGTTCGCGCACGCTCAACTAATATCGCCATTGCGCCTTTGTCATGCAGCAGCCTTTACGACATCCGCCATGAGATATTAGAAAGGAAAACACATTAAAAGAAAAGGAACAAAGCAAAACAAAACGCCAAGAAAGCATCAAAAATGCGCCCGGAGCAGCGTTGCCACCGCCATTCAAAATGTGTTCAGGGGCCTGTAACTAAGCGGAGAGAAGGGGGTTTGAGGCGGTTCAGGAACCAATTTGTAGGTTTGGGACGAAGATGAGATCTGTGTAAAGAAAGTTAGAAATTATGTGAGAGAGGGAAATTTTATAAGTTCTCCTCTCTCAAGCCACCTCAGGTTTCTTGCAGGTGGCTTGAAAGCCACCTAATTCCGAAAAAAAAGTTGAGCACACCTCCAATTCACATAATTTTTTCAATGATTTTTCATAAATAGTAATAAATTCTCATTGTTCGTCTACACACCAATTTTGGTGTCATTTCATTTTCACTTCGCTTGAACAAGCCGTCTCTTGGTTTGGGAGAGCATGCCGCCGGAATGCAGCGTGCCTGCGGCAGGCGGACCGCAAAAACGATATCTCCTTTGCTTTTTTTTATCAAAAACGATATCCAGCTTACTTGGTAAGCCACCTGTGCCGTGCCCCGACCATAACCCTACAGCAGACCCACTCGTGCAAAGCAGATGTAATATCCTCAATCAGCGTGCTATGTCTTCGCTCGTAACGGAGCTGCCGAAATCACCCGAGCTTGTTTGTACTGGATTCACAAGAACGTGATTTTCTGAGTTCGCAGAAAAACTTTACAAGAGGATGGTCCTGTAGCACCGTCCCATCAGACTGAAACACAAATATAAAACGAGTTATCTAATAAATAAGCAGATTCAGGTAAACACACAAACTTCTTGGCTTAGATATACATCTTCCTTATTATATTAGGTTGATGCATAATTAATGTATATGACTTGTCTTCAAACGGTAAGAGAGGTATAAAAATCTATAAGACATCACTCGATAGAGCAAAAAAAGCCCGACAAGATAGTATTCAAAAAATCACTGAAAATTTGATGCACGAAGGTCCAGACAGAAAGATTCAAAATCTTCAAAAGCCCACGGACTCTGTTGAGAAAAACTTGCTTAGAAAAGTCACTTGTCGCGTCAGCTATGCAAATTTACCCATGGCTACAATTAGAAAATAAGTTTGGCATGTTCTAGCAAAATCAGTGTTGATTGTCCCAACGTAGGTGATTCCATACTACATCCCTTCTAGAGTATAACAGTAGATTTCCAGCCTTCTTCAGCGTTGATTCTCGAGAGATACCAGAAGATAATGAAAAGGGTGAATTGGCCTATTTCTGATTTTCAACTTCCGATTGCGAAAAAAATACGGGAAGTGTAAATATGAATATCTTATCTGTGTAGCTTATGCTTGACCAAACTCTTTAAACGGAAACCTGATTATTTTCCGATTTTTTCGCAAATTATATAGATCGGACCTTTTGCGGATATACATTTGTACATTTTCTCTTCCGCTTCAGAATAAGGAACATGCATAATTCTGCATAAACCTGATGATTTAATTTAAGACCATATTGTGCAAACTGAAAGAGATTTTCGTAAATCGCAGGTTTTAATATCTCATCGAGCAAAGTTCCGATTATTCCAAGAGCACCAATGCTCTGCTTAAAACCTACGGCTAAATAAGTGTACACAGTGTTAGAATACTATACAGCCTGTTTCGCCTCTACCCCTATACAGGTTAGGGTATATAGTAGACCACTCCCGAGGCTCATCTAGGGAAGAGTGGTGACAGCAGTAATACATGGAATTGAGCTGAGGAACTCTATTTATACGCTAAGGGTAGAGCGAAAAGATCAAAGTGAAAAGGAGATGAGATCACAATTTTAAAGATTATAGAAGTTTGAGTTTTTGAAACAAAAATTTAACAAATTTTTTTGTGTTTTTGAAAGAATGTAATTCAAGATATTTGGAAGAAATACTTTTGTTAAAGGTTAAGCATTTAATAAGCGCATTAGCTATCATGTTGAGCGAATATTCTAGTACCAACAGTTGATTTTTAAGAATAATCAATCGTTCCACAAAATTTTCAAAAATTGTGCAAGTTCTGTGGATTCTTAGAATTTCACCATATATGATAGCCGTTTCAATATTGAAGCTTATATGAGAATGAGCGTGTGTGTACTTGTTTACCTTAAATCGGAAATGATCTGTTTTATTATATTGTTGCGTAATAATGGTATCATCAGTGATTTCGATATGAAGGTCAAGAAAGTTACACTGAAAATCTGTAAGATGGGTGCTCTCAAGTTCCAAAGTGTCATTATATGTGTCCTTCAACATACTAACTATTAGAGACTCTTCTTGATTATGATTAACTAAAAGGTCGTCCATGTATCTAAATGGTTTAAATAGAATGTTTGTTTTGGGGTAACTATAGCATATTTATACTCTAAATATGTCAAAGTGAGGTCTGCTATTACGGGGCTTGCGTTACGTCCTTGCGGTACACCCACTTTCTGTTTGAAAACACGGTTACCAATTTTACTATAACTGTTTTCAATAAGATACTGCATCATGTATACTAGGTCTTCAATTTTGTAGCTCCTTTGATTTGGTTTATCCACTGAGGTATTGCAGTAGTAAACTTTACTGTTAGTACAGGTGATATATTTGCAGCTGCTATTTTTCAAACAAATTCTAAGAATATTTGTTAGATTTTTCAAAATAACATTGTGAGGTACGTTGGTCATGTTAGTAAAATCCGCTGAATGAAGCTTAAGATGCTTGCTATGTATAGTCTGTAGTTCATAGGAAATATTTATATCATCTATGACCAGTAGGTTTCTAGGCACCTTTTATTAAGATAAACAACTCTAGCATATTTTTTGAAATGAGTTCTAATGAATGTAAGAATTCGAGTCAATTCTATTGATAATGATTTATGCTGCTGCTAGAAGCTACGGTTATAAATCTAAAATTGACAGAATTTTTATGGAATTTAGGAATACAGTAGATATTGGGGATGACTGGATTTTTAGATTTTTTTAGCTTGAAATCTTATATATAAAGCTGAATGTCTGTTTGTATGTATGTATGTCTGTCTGTCTGTATGTATGTCTGTCTGTCTGTACGTATGTTCCGAATAGAAAATTCCATTTCTGAACCGATCCGGACCAAACTTGGCACACATACACTACGGGCCCCGGCGGGTGTCATAGGCTACTTTTCGTCATCGATCGATATCGATTTTATCGATTTTTTGCAAAATTCGAGCTACGGGGCTGGGAGTTGGCACAGGGGGGTAATCGAGCATGCTGATTACGAATACAACATTAGTTTTTAAAATCGTGCATTACTTTTATCGATTTTATCAATTTTTTTGCAAAGTTTGAGCTACGGGGCTGGGAGTTGGCACAGGGGGTAAGTGAGCATGGTGATTCCGAATACAATATTAGTTTCTAAAATCGTGCATTACTTTTATCGATTTTATCGATTTTTTTGCAGAGTTTGAGCTACGGGGCTGGGATTTGGCACAGGGGGGTAATCGAGCATGCTGATCACCCCCGTGGGGTCGATCAGCATGCTCGATTACCCCCCTGTGCCAAATCCCAGCCCCCCAGCTCAAATTTTGCAAAAAATCGATAAAATCGATAAAAGTAATGCACGGTTTCGAAAACTAATATTGTATTCGTAATCACCATGCTCGATTACCCCCCTGTGCCAAATCCCAGCCCCCTAGCCCAAATTTTGCAAAAAAATCGATAAAATCGATAAAAGTAATGCACGGTTTCGAAAACTAATATTGTATTCGTAATCAGCATGCTCGATTACCCCCCTGTGCCAAATCCCAGCCCCCTAGCTCAAATTTTGCAAAAAATCGATAAAATTGATAAAAGTAATGCCCCCTAGCTCAAATTTTGCAAAAAATCGATAAAATCGACATCAATCGATAACGAAAAGTGGACTGTGACACCCGCCGGGGCCCGAAGTGTATGTGTGCCAAGTTTGATTCGGATAGGTTAAGAAATGGAATTTTCTATTCGGAACATACGGCGGAGCCGGGTAAGCCAGCTAGTTATCAATAAAACTAAGGTGCCTATCGACAATGTTTTGGGTGTCTATAGTTCCCAGATAATTGTATATAGATAAACTATTTGTGTTATTGTTCACACTCATTTCTTCAATCAAAATATTAAGGTAAAGTTTTTTACAAATTATGCCATAGTTAGAGTTAGCCTTATCTAGGGGACAGAAATTAAAGAATTTTTGTAAATGTCTAACTCAACTGCGTTGAAGGAGAAAGATCTAGTAACCTAAAATTCTTTGATTTGCTTATGGAGAATTCGATATGTGAATACGAAAACCAACTTGGACATTTCTCACTCAAGGCTAGGACACATAGATTATAGGGCAACACAATTTCCCGAACTTGTTAGCGTTTAACTTCGAAAGCTTACTGCGCAGTATTTACTGAGTGGGCTTAGAGAACTCGGAGAGTTTTAATATCGATTGATGTCTGTGGTGGGCCTCTATGTACAAGAGGCACAATGAGAAATCTCTTGAGAAAACTTGTTCGGAGAAATGACAACATTGCATGCCATTCAACTAATGGCGCTACTAGACTTGACCTTTTTCCAAAACTCATCAGTTGTTCCTCACTTTTGAAAAAGCCTGCTAGCATGATTTTCTGCTAAAAATATTATGAATATAGTCACAGCTTCACCAAAAAGACACTTAAGACCTCTAAGTACTACAAGGTATCTCAAAAAGATGTGCACATTGTTTGATTGTCAATAGCTCTCTTGCTTGAACATTTTTCGCCGAGCTTGAAACAATTTTTGCCGACCATTCTCCCTGGCGAGGTTTAACTTAGATTTACAGCATGAAACGAATCTCCGATCTTTCTTTGCTAATGTAGGATTAGGGTAGAAATTTCGAGACGGATTCTATGACATTGAAAGCGGTATTTGCCGCAGAAGGAGAAACCAGGCCAGAAACTCTTGTACTGGGCTGTGAAATCGCTGATTTCAAAAATGGCAATTGCACCTTTCTTAGATTATTTCAGTTTTAGGGTAAGAATTGTTTTAACAATGTTCGTCAGAATTGTGATGACACCACTAAAAAGCTCCAAATTACTGGTAAGAAGCTATGGTCTACACAGATTTCCAGATTTTTTGGGATCTATCTCATTGGAAAGCCTATTCCACACTGACGCTGTATGCTGAAATTTTCTATCGTAACCCTACAGTAACAATGAAAAATCGCAGATCCGTTCCGTGCTGCAAATCTGATGAACCTCGCCCTACGGAATGGTACCTCAAGGTTGGCGAAAGACGTTCAAGCAAGAAAGTTATTGACGATCAAACAATGTGCACATCTTTTTGGCACACCCTGTATGTGCGCTGCGTTAAATCGTTACTAAGTCAAGTGCCTAGCAAAAAGAGCAAGACCGTACACAGATGAATCACATAAGTGCTATGTAACATCGACAGCACTCTAACCGCATGTCAGTATGCCTAACCGCTCTTCCCGTTGTTAGCTATCACTTACATTTAACGCAAGCTTTTCGTACCTCTTCAACTCTAGTTTTCAAAGTAGAAAATTACCTTAATCTTATGATTATCTTATTATCGAAAATTATCTCAAAATATCTAAAGAAGCATTTCTCCCAATATTTCTTCCCACTTCTTCCCTTCCGCTTTCTTCGTCATAAGTTCAAGAACAATCACCGATTTATCTCAAATGAGCCTAACGATTGCGACTGTTTGTGCAATGCCTTTTGAAGTAAAATTTGCAAAAATATTGAAGTGAGAAATTTAAACTTGGGTTGCCATTGCTGCTTTTATGTTCCGTGCGAAAATCTCGAGCAAATAGCGATTGCAGACCTACACTAAACAATACATCGGTTGATATGAAAACTGTAGGTATTCTCAGTTTCCGGAGGAATATTGAAGAGTATAGAAAAATGAGCATCAAATTGATTGGCTTCAACATTTTTGCAACATTTTTTCTTAAAACCCGAAAAATTTGAGTTGGCAACACTGCTTATGAGAGCATTGGTTGAAAATGAGCAAAGTGCGCTATTCTGCTAAAATTCAGAGTAAGCTATGATCTCAAGAAGTTTTGACAATCTCCACGCTAGAAAATCTTCCTTGTTATGGTTACAGTTATACAAAGCATGTGTTGATAATAGTTTGCTTTTTATAGTAGTCTCTACTAGGCTCAGAAAGGGCATTTATGGAGTTCTCTTGGTTGAAAATAGGTCACAAAACTTGCACTAATTAAGAATCAACCATTACAGGCACATGGGTGTATTATCCCCTTCTCCCTCCCACCCCTTCTAAGCAACTGTACACACATCCGAATAGATTGGCCTTACCCCGTTTACCACACCCTTACAATGCACTGGCGAACCAAAGAGGTGACCCTGCCTAAGAATGTTTCGCGAAATTTTTTGAAGTCAATTACATGGGTCATAAAAATGTGCAAACGACTTGCTTGTATTGTGTGTTGTCTGTGAGCCGTGACCGAGATTGTTACAATACTTTATCGGCTAAAGTTTGAGCAGATCGCCTTCTTAGAGCCTGAAATGGATAAACGATTTGCGATCTATTCGATGACGTCTCTGCAGCAAACTGAGCAAAGTATCGAAATTTCTGTTAAACCACTAGCTCAGCTGATAGCCGATAGCCAAACACTCTTTCACTTTTCACTTTTGGTACGCCGACGAGAGTTGATGCGAGAGCGAGGTGACTAATGACCGCATAAGGGGACCACTATTTGAAGCAGAAAATTGGGTCAGAAGAGCTGATCAAGGTAGGGCGCGAGTTCCCGTGTGATCGCCAGGCATTTTTCGTTGCAACTTGTTTGTACTTGCAACTAGATAAAATACATTAAAAAATTTTGAAATCCATAATAGCCTTGTGAAAAAATTTTCGTTGGCGTGGCTACTGCCTTAAAAAATTCTGGTTCAACGGCGCGGAAAAAAATTTGGGAAGCACCCCAAAAGATTTTTACCACCAGCACCTTAATACGACCCCTTCCCCCCGAACGGGAATAGTGGGACCGCCACTGTTGACGGTACCATTAGTAACAATGAATGTAGCCATTGCAACAATCAGCGCATCGAATTGTTTCAAGCAAAAGCTTGTAGAAAATGCTTTCAAAGCAATTTTTTGAAAATACTCACACTCCCACAATGTGCCATAGCAAATTAACGTAAAGTTGCAGGCAGCAGACTGAGTAACTCACCTAGCATAAAGCTGAAGAAATTCGTGAAATGATCAAATACATATGCCTACATCACCTCAATAGGGGGCTATGACACATCTATGGATCAAAAACTTTTAGATAACGTACGTGGTACCCTTAGACTCTTTATTTGATCGACCCAAGATACGGGCGATGCTAAAATCCGCCGTATTCCGGTAGCCGTCGCCGAGCGATTGTTTTTCATAAACTATAAGCAGTATTACTGCATTCCAACGATTCGGACTTTTTGTGCGCTTTGCTACTTGCGTGGTACTTTTGCGAAAAGCGTAGGAAAAGCTGAACAGTCCTGTGGCTCTAATCTGTATTGCAAACGGTACCGCCCTACCGGCGACTTCACTTAGCGCCAGTGTCAGATTTCATGCTCACTTCACCATACCTTCACAGCTTTCTGTCGAGTTTCCGAATTCATTACTTTCTCAACAGGGATTTCCCCTGCGCCTCGACCTTTACGTAAATTCTAGCTTTCAGAGATGTCATACAGCACAACCCATCCGGGAGGACGCGCACCACTGGGTGGTCGTCAGGGCGTTGTCGGTATGTGACACACCTACACTTACCCTCCATGCATAATACGGTACTCTTTTTCAGCACAAGATCGTACATTGAAAATTGTCACGGAAATGCGATCCGGAACCGCCGCCGTAGGTTCCGGGATGTCTCCATTCGGACAGAATGCTGCAAGTGCAATTCGGGATACTCGCGAACGTGAGAAGAAGGAAATGAGCGATTTGAACGATCGCTTGGCTAGCTATATCGAAAAGGTGAAGCCTTCTTAGCTGCCGTTTACGCGGTCTAAAATGATATTCAGATCAAGCGCGTATTGCACATCTTGCCACAAACTAAAAGTAACCAGCTTTTGTTAGCACATCAATGATTGCAGGTTCATAATCTATTTAGCAAAAATGCCGCTTTGTTTAGGTCCGCTTTTTGGAGGCACAAAATCGCAAGCTAGCCGCCGATCTTGAAGCCCTCCGAGGTAAATGGGGAAAGGACACACATAATATTCGAACGATGTATGAAGGAGAACTCTCGGTTGGTTCTGCATCCTTGTAGAAGTTCAAAAAGTTTCTAGCTGAATAGACTCAAGAGCTGAGTGAGAATTATTAACGCATAGAGCTGAGCAGAATATTGGCCAGTTCACTAAGAACTGATAATTGCTTAGTTTTCACACCCTTTACTGTAAATAATCCTCTACTGTCGGCATAGTTTGATTGAGCTTGTTATATTAAGGATGCTCGAAAGCTCATCGATGAAACAAATCGACAACGCCAAGATTTGGAGGGGCAGATTAAGAAGATGCAAGATGAGCTAACCGAACTACGCCACAAGTAGGTATTCCATCAATTCATCACCTGTGGCAATCTTCCAGAGAAATCGGTCTTTGTCTAACTTTTACATTCGTCTCATTCCAGAACGTATAAGTGGCAAACAAACTTGTTTTGTTGAAGATGACTATTTCAAAATGCACGCAAACTATTGTATGATTGTCACTGCCGTAAATACTGGGCAATAAGAGGCACTTGTTTTTTAATAGGCGCATCCAAACACGAAATTTTCGGGCTAAGTTTATACGCAAAGACCACGAGACAGATTTTTGCCTGCAAATATTCTTCTCCTAGATATGAGGACGCTGTTCGTGGACGAGAATCCGACCGTGCCAAAATTGACGATTTGCTTGTGCAACTTTCAAATCTGGAGGTAATGGTATTATGTAACAAAAACTGTGATGGGTACCAGCTCGCATAAACAACTAGTGCAGCGTCTGACTCACAAGATAAAAATTCCTCTTAGATTAGATTTGTTTGCACAGCTGAAACCGGCTTCTTTGCCTTTTTTTTGCACTTTCGGAAAATTGTTCCTTCCGACAATCACTCCGATCTGTAAACACTGTGCCACAGTCTTTTAAAGCAAAGTATTCAGGCTGAGATCAACTTGCTCAAACGTCGCATCGCTGATCTTGAAGAGGAAGTCAAATACATCAAACAGGAAAATCAGCGCCTTCTTTCGGAACTTCAACGTGCACGCACGGTTCGCTATTCGGCTGCCAGGATTATAATCAGCACCATTTTGCCTTCAGGATCTTGATCAGGAGACTCTGAACCGCATTGATTACCAGAACCAAGTACAGACTCTCTTGGAAGAGATCGACTTCCTTCGCCGCGTTCACGACAACGAAATCAAGGAGTTACTGGTACCTTCATCAGTTCAGAGTAACCTGTCCATGTGACAAAAATGCTGTTTAGGCACTGGCATCACGTGACACTACCCCCGAAAACCGCGAGTTCTTCAAAAACGAACTTTCTTCTGCTATTAGAGAAATTCGTGATGAGTATGACCAGGTAAATTCGCATTTTTGTTTCAGCTGCATGTGTACGAAATATTCTCTTTCAGATCACAAGTGCCCAACGCACGGATATGGAATCTTGGTATCGTCTCAAAGTGCAAGAAATCCAAACTCAGAGTGCTAGACAGGTAGGTCGCTATGCGTGTTTCTCTTCCATTTATTTAGTGACATTTTAAGACTATGGAACAAGGATATGCCAAGGAGGAGTTAAAGCGTCTGCGCACGCAGCTTAGCGATCTTCGTGGAAAGCTTGCTGATCTCGAGGGCAGGGTATGTTTACCAAGAATGACGTATTTGCTCTTGACAGGAAGCTATTCAGAACTCCCTCCTGGAGAAGCAAATACAAGAACTCAACTACCAACTCGAAGACGACCAGCGCTCATACGAATCCGCTCTCAACGAGCGTGATACCCAAATTCGTAAAATGCGGGAAGAATGTCAGGGTCTCATGGTCGAACTTCAAATGTTGCTCGATACCAAGCAGGTTATCTTAAACGTCTAATCGAAATCAATCGTCGATAATAAGCCAAGTAGAATCTGGACGCTGAGATTGCCATCTACCGCAAGATGTTGGAAGGTGAAGAAGACCGCGGCGGACTGAAGCAATTAGTCGAGCAGGTTGTCAGAACTCATGCTCTCCAGCAAGAACTTGATACTGGTGAAATATGCATTGTCACATAGAGACACCTGTAGTTATCCTTGATTCGCAGAGACCATGAGATTAGTGAAAGGTGAAACTGCTTCTCGTCAATCGTTCCAAAGATCAGCCAAAGGCAATGTGTCCATCCACGTAAGTTCATCCCTTTTAGCATAAATAAAAAAATTTGCACGTTACCATTGCAGGACGCTGCACCTGATGGCAAGTTCATAGTGCTCCAGAATACCCATCGCGCTAAAGACGAAGTGATTCACATTTCTTTCACACTTCCACCTCAAACCAGTCCCTTTCCAGATGATCGGTGAATGGAAGCTGAAGCGTCGCATCGAAGGGAAACGCGAAATAGTGTACACTCTACCTAGAGATTTTGTATTGCGTGCCGGTAAAAGCGTGAAGGTAAGGTATATCGAATTTTCCTAAGCCCACGCTTCAATTTCGCAGATCTTCGCTCGCAACCAAGGCGTCGCTTCTCCACCTGATCAACTCGTTTACGAAGGGGAAGATACCTTTGGATCTGGTAATTCGGTACAAACTATTCTCTTCAACAAAGAGGGAGAAGTAAGCTTTAAAAGCGTTTTTTTATCAATTCGAAAATTGCTATTATGCAAATTTCAGGAACGTGCCACACACATTCAGCGCCAAAGCACTGCTTAAGCAACTTATTACAACAATTAGCTTCAAGCGATTCCATCCCTAGATGGAGTTACTTCACCGAAACAGCCTTTTGCTTGAGGATATCGTGCTTAGCATTTTGAGAGCTTTTAGTGTTATTTTCGGGGCCGAATACGTGAACTTCCCCGCCGGGAAGATAAGCGCAGCTCAAAATCCAGTTTCATAACCTGAAGCCCCTAAGTTCTGAAGTGCACACTTTCTGTCCATTTTCAAGTGTTTCTCTTATCCTCTTACTATAATCATATTGAACAGCAGCAAGTTGTTGTTTGAGCCATTCCGAGCTTTTTTCTATAATCGTCTTATGATAACCAACGGCCGACCGTCTTTTTTGAAAGGCATTTTCCTTGCTTCAAAGCTGACAAAAACAACTCAAAGTTGTACTGATTATCTCAGTAATTAGTGGCAAGAATATTTCAGATAGAACAAAAAATGTATCGAAGTAATGAGGATTTCGATGAACCACAAATTGAAGCTTGTGGTTTGTTAAAAATTTAAGAATTTTAGTATTCTCTAATGATTTACTTCTTAGCTGCTGGGTTAGATAATCAGTACAACTTTGAGAAGCGTTCATATACTTCAAAGAAAAAAAATGTGTAAAAAACAAGACGACCGACCGCCAGGGATCGTCAGAGGTCTATGAGAAGTTGACAATGCGAATCAAACAAAAGAATTTATGATCAGGGCTCGGCACGAGCTGGCACCAGGAAATTTTCAAAATGAAGTCCCCCTTGACTTTTGGGAATTTTCACGGAGTCCCCTTTGATCCTCAACGATATCCCCTCTGAAATCCCAACCCCCCCCCCCTCCCAAAAAACGAAACGTCGACTAAAAAAAAAGGTCGCCGTCGCCAATTTTGCGTATATCTTCGCCCACAAAAACGAAACCCTCTTTGCTTTTTGCCCCAAAAACGATATCCAGCTTGCCCCTTGCCAGCTGGTGCCAGGCCCTGTTTGTGATCAACATGATTATAGAAAAAGGTGACAGAAACACTTGAGGATGGGAAGACAGCGTAGATCAAAAGGCTCGTATGCATGAACATCTCTGTGGCAAGGAAGGGGCGTTCCCCAATGTTGAACAAGCGCTGGCGGTGTTCGTCTGCGTCCCTCCATATCGGCGGACGCTGCTCTCCTTGCCGCAGAAATTTTTATGCATAAGGGCCTAAATGTACGGAGTTCAGAATATGAGGCTTCCTTCTACGCTGCGTTACGATCCACGACGGAGATCTTCATAGATTCGGCCCGACAACATATAGATGCTAGAGATTAAATGCTTAGCATTCTGAGTGCCTTTAGCCTTTATTCGAAGCTATAAATAGAGTGCTAGTCTTTCACAGTGCGATAAGAACTCTGATATATCATATTAAAGTTAGAGCCGATAGCCAACTTTTAATGCAGTACACCAAAAAAGACCTACCTTGGAGGCTTTCTTTGAACGGATATCAAACACAAACATGGGTGAGTAAACCATACTGTGGCTAAAAACTTGGAAATTATACAAATTAGTTGTTATTAAAGTGGTATAAAAATTATGTAGGAGATAATGATTATGGCAAACTAAGGAAAAAAACAGGCCCTATGAAAGTGAAAGCACAGTGATAAGAGATGTGGACTGTCGAGACATTTGCAATGTTACTTGTGCAAAACAGAAAGTTTTGTGTTTTACTTCATTTACGAAATTGTACACCTCAAAAAGATGAGAAGTATTTGTTATAAACAAATGTATTAAATGAGTAAGCTTCAGCATTTTATTAGAATAAAAGTATAAAGACTTGCAGACATGATGTCGCCCGACGCCCACTCTACGATCATTCATACTACCTAGGTTGCTAGCGTCAGCATAGAAGATGAACAGCAAAGGATAAAGTCCAAAGTTGAATTGGCGTCGATAACTTGAGGACTCAACAAATACACCTCTTATGATATAAAGAAGAAACAAGAAACGCCAGATCTACATTGATCCGCCCCAAGTATGGCTATAACTGTTTTTAGACGCCATTCACTTATATAGCGGCTGATCTCTGTGATTAGGGTGGTGTGATGATGACGACGAGAAGAAGCAGAGGCTGAGAGGCGACGGGGAGCGTCACGACAAATAGGGTGTGCCCTGTCACTTGTCAATTCTCTCTGTGAAATATGGAAGCGCATTTCGCATGTACTGTAAGGTTTGGGTCAGACTGTGCGGCGTGCGCGGCGTACGCGACGTACGCAGCGTACCACACATGCATAAAGATATGAGCCGTAAGCAGCGTATGCCGCACACAACCCTAATATGCAAGCAGGTGATGAGATGATGACTGAAGCCGTTCCAGTTTGGAGCGTTCTAGATGCAAACGTGCCATAAAAACTTGTTCAATTTTTACTTCAAAACACTTTTCACCACTTTTTGGTACCCACAGTATCCACATACTCTTCTAACTTCACTGCGTATTTGGGACCGCATGTCCGAATCACGCATTATTCCGAACAAATATGCCGACCCAATCACATTTAAGTTTTCCGCATAATGAATGACTTTGTGCAAAGGCTGTTTCAAATCTAGAATCGCTAATTTCGGTTACTTGGAAACATGCAATCCATTCACTCGCAGTACAGAGTATGGTTAATGACTTTTGTGTGCAAATAACCCGGAATACTAGCACAAAATCGAACAACTTGAGGATACATATATACAATCTTATATATAAAGCTGAATGTCTGTTTGTATGTCTGTATGTATGTCTGTCTGTCTGTCTGTACGTATGTTCCGAATAGAAAATTCCATTTCTCAACCGATCCAGACCAAACTTGGCACACATACACTTCGGGTCCCGGTGGGTGTCATAGGCTACTTTTCGTCATCGATCGATATCGATTTTATCGATTTTTTGCAAAATTTGAGTTACGGGGCTGGGAGTTGGCACAGGGGGGTAATCGAGCATGCTGATCATGCTCGATGCTCGATTACACCCCTCTGCCAAATTCCAGCCCCCTAGCTCAAATTTTGCAAAAAATCGATAAAATCGACATCGATCGATAACGAAAAGTGGACTGTGACACCCGCCGGGGCCCGAAGTGTATGTGTGCCAAGTTTGGTCCGGATCAGTTAAGATATGGAAATTTCTATTCGACATACGGCGGAGCCGGGTAAGCCAGCTAGTCTAAAATATTCCTGAAGAATTCGCTTATGAAATAAATTCAAAAATAATTTTACGTTTAAACTAAACTTTAGTTCAAACTGTTACCAGTGCTCTAAATTGCTGTAGGTCACTATCTCCACGCACTTTCGTTTATGATCCTCGGAGCAGTGAAATGATGCACACTAGCACGAGTTTTTTTTTAGAATTCCTGACAGCGAAGTCCCAGGGCCCAGCACGAGTTGGCATATGAGAAACTCAAAAAAGAAGTTTTCCTTGACAATGCAGAAATTTACGAGCTACCTTTTGTACTGCTTGTAAAAGCTCTTCTAGTAATCGGCCGAAATAGTGGATTGAAGTGAAGGAAAACCAAGAAGAAATCAAATATTAATAAACAAAGTGCGATAAAAGATTGTTTATCTTTGAGAGTCATAACAAAACATAAGAGACGAAACTTGAGTAAGAGTTAGTGATCATGAGTAACTTGATCTGAAGACTAGATTTATGTAAAAAAAAGGTTTGCAGATTTATGTGGGGAAGGGGAGAATTGTGAAGATTCATGACTTTGTCTGGTCCCGCGCAACCTCAGAGTGCTTCCAGGTTACGCGGGAGCAACCTAAAATCGAAAAAACTTACAACTTCTCTCACTCACATAAGTTTTCCATAAATTTTCGTACTTTTCTTATGATCATCGCTGCGAATGTACACACCAAATTTGGTGGCTCAACTTTGCTTACTCATTGTAAACAAACCATTGTTTATGTTTTTATGCATAGAGATTTTTTTTGACACAATTCGTGTGCACACAGGTTTATGCATTAGTCATGTTTGTAACGTGTTAGACGTATAACTAGTAAAATTACGTTAGACCTGCAAATTCGGGCTTGCTAAGAGCTAGAGTTGCTTTCCAATATTTCGTAAGGTTTTCGGGTGGAAAGTTTACGGGTTTCCCTCAGAACTACGTTCAGCGTGTGAAAGCGCCACCCCTGCTGAGCCCTACGAAGTCCCCTGCCCCTTATTGGGCACCTATCATCTTGTTGGTATTTTTACATTTTTCATAAGGGACTGAATTCAGAAACCAAGAAAACAAGTACAGTTGGTGTTGAGGTGCGATATTAAGAAAAGCCCTTTCATGAACAAATTGATTCACAAACAGCGGCGTGGCATCGAGACGAATCTGCATTCCTCATTACTGGTCGATTCTTAACCGAGGAAGTAGCCCGTGATAGGAAAATTAAAAATTTATCGGACGAACTCACAATGGAGGATGTCAGACAAAGTGCCATTTGGAGATGAAGTATATACTCCTTCAAGGGCATGGAACACTGATTCCAAACCTGCCTTCGATGTCTGCTGCGGATTTCTAAACGAGAATTCTGAAGCTTTTTATAAGCAAACTAGCTGGGGGCCCCGGTCTTACCCGAGACTTCAAGTTAGTTAAGCCAACAGAAATTGTAAACTTACGCCTCTAGATTTCTTCTAACGTGCGCATAAAGCGCTTTCAGACTAAGCCGCACCCTACCAACTTTAAGACTGAAATGGACTTTACCGACCCTACTTACATGCTTATATGTAAAAATGATCGGTTGCCATGATGGCCCTTCATCTTCTTAGGTTTGAGTAAACAAATCAATAAATCGATAGAATGGCCCGGCGAATCGCCGCGGAAAGTAGCTCTAAACCACCGCCGGGGTCGAAAATATATGTGTGCGAAGTTTCAACCGGATCGGTTCAGTGGCGCGCGTTTCTATAACGAACGAACAATTAAACGAACATCCTCACAGACATTGAGTTTTATATATATACAAGTTGGCTTTCCCGGTCCAGCCCGGGCCATGATTCACCGCACTGCGAGCCCCCCCCCCCCCCGCCCTATATGGTATGGATGACTTACCTTGGGACGTCCGCTTGGAAACCGCATCCTCGTGATCTTGAGGTGAAAATGAGCTTCACCGCCCTCTTTCACATGAGTATGGAAAATGCTTGATTGAACATGATAACCCTTCAATTCCACAGGAAAATGTAAACAAATCAATAAATCGATAGAAGGACCCAACGAATCGCCGCAAAAAGTAGCCTATCATCTGCGCAAGGGTCGAAAACATATGTGTGCAAAGTTTCAGCTGAATCGGTTGAGTGGCGCGCGTTTCTATAACGCACATACCCTCCAAACTGACAATTTTTGAGTTTTATATATA